CAAGTGCTGCTGTCCCGACCAGCGGGTCCATGGGTGGGAACCCCTCCTTGACCTGTGTTTTCTGAGTCGCCAGGACCAGATGTGCTCACTTGCCAAAAAATAAACCCATGGAAGCGCATCTCCTGGCCGCTCGCCACCTCCTCCTCCTCGCAAGCTGCGAGCGCATCCTCCCCTTCCTGCAAAGCCCGGACGAGTTGCCTGGATGCCTGCAGCAAAGCCGCCCTGTTCCCACCCCGGTGAGCCCGGCAGCAGCCTCCTTTGTGGTTTTACATGTGCCAAAACCCATACGCAGCTGCGTAAACGCGTTAGGATATTCTCCTTTCCTCCTCGGCTTCTCGGTGCTTGTTTGTACCAGAAGTCGACCCTTTGCTACGTTCCTGCTGGGTGCTACCCCACACCCCTCACCCCCACCCGCTCCGGCATTCCCGAGCTTCACGTTTGCTTGTTCAGCTCGAGCACAAGCTTAGTCCGCAGGGTCAAGGGCCAGGATAAAGCCAGCGTTCCCAGAACACAGCCCAGCTCCAGCTGCTTGCAGGGAAAGACTCGCACGCAAACCCGGAGAGGAGAAACCCGCAGAGCACCTTCCCCACCACCGCGGGACATCCCAACGTCCCTGTTGTCACTCACATGGATCCGCGTAGGGCAAAGCATCCTGCATCCCGTCCGGGGTTACGGCGCGAGCAAGAGCTGCCCCATGGCAGCACCGCCTGCACCCCAGGAAGGCATCCCCTGCCCCCCAGCCCACCCCCAGCTTGCTTTCGGTCCCACCGAGCAGCTGCTGAGGATGCAGCAAACGCCGCATCCCAAAGGTCCTCCCCAGCATCCCGGAGCAATCACATCTCCGCTGCTCATCCTACCTGAGTGCACCCGCGATGCAAACTCACCAGATCCTAAAATCCCGCACGAGGCAAAGCGCATGATCCATCCTCTTCCTCCATCCTCCTCCATCCACCCCCCGTTGCACGGGGCCCCACCAGTGATGCTCAAGCCTGCAGCGAGGACCGCCGAGGCTCTGATTTATCAGCGCTCCTGCTTCTCATTTTGGGGCTACCCCAACTTGGCCGTACGGGCGGCCGTCGGGTTTTTTCCTAAACGATTTATCCCAGCGGGTTCCCATCGCCATGCCACTTCACAAACCAACAGCGGCCAGGCGAGATCTCACCCACAAACTGTTGGGATGGGTTTGGGGCAGGGGAATTACGTGGCACGAGCAGCGGGCACAGAAACCACGCAGGGCTGGTCGCATTTACCCGTGGCACCTAAACCTTCCCGATCTCTCTGGCCTCCCTTGGGCACCCCAGCCCTGAAATCGGACAGGATTTTAGCTTCCATATCACCTCTGTGCCTGGCAGTCCTATGCAGATCCCTGGCTGTGCTGCCCTGCAGCCCAGGCAAATCAGATTAAACCCAGAGACTTGCCACACCAGTCTGTCTCCATTGCATTAACCCTTTTTTTGCCTTTCCAGAGCACGCTCCTACCGCTGCTTTAGCAATAACCCCGGAGCCCTGATGCCAGTGGCCAGAGAAGGGACCTGCTCCTGTCCCCATCCCGGGTCCAGCATCCCTGGTGCTGGCTGGAGCGGCCCCGCCGGGATGGATGGAGAAAGGATGCTGCAGCTGGGGGGTTCAGGGAAGCCCCAAACTTACCACGGACTCACCCCCAAAACCTCGCTGCGGCTGGTACCACGTCTCCAAGGCGGCATTGACCGCAGGGGAGCTGGGGGAGCACACCCACAGAGCTCCGTCCTCCCCGAACCCAGCCACGGAGACATTCCCTGCTCTGTGACTGCACCGATTTAATACCCCTCGAGGGGTTTTTCTTCCACAATCTCCCCGCATTGCTTACCAAACCCGCTCCCGAGTGCTCTCCGCATCATTTTTTTTGACCCCCCGCTCCCCGTCCCACGCACGCCCGCGGCCCCGCGCCGCCCTGGCAATGATTTACCCCAGGATCTCCGAACCATTAAACTCCACCGGGGTGGCACCAAACCCGGGGGCACCTGCACCGCCTCCGCACCCAGCCGGGCTTCCCGCACCCCTCCCTGGCTCCCCACAGGCTGACACATCCCAGGGACGCTTTGGGATCCCTCCTGGGATATTTCCCACTTTAATTAATAGGAGGATGATTTTTTTTCCTGTGCGGGGGGTGAGGCAGTGGCCCAGGTTGCCCAGAGAAGCTGTGGATGCCCCATCCCTGGAGGGGTTCAAGGCCAGGCTGGATGAGGCTTTGGGCAACCTGGGCTGGTGGGAGGTGTCCCTGCCCATGGCAGGGGGTGGCACTGGGTGGGCTTTAAGGTCCCTTCCCACCCAAACCATCCTGGGATTCTATGAATTCGGCACAGGAGGGTGGGGATAAGCCCCTTCTCCAGCAGGCACGCCTGGACGCACACCAAAGGCTTTTACCGCGGGTACCCGATAGCATCATACCCTCTGCAGGAGACACCAGCCCCCGGCGGGGGTGCAGACCCCCCCGGACCACGCTCCCAACAAAATGCCGTCCCCATCGTCGGGGTGAGTCACAAGGAAGCACGACACCCATCGCTGCCCTCGGCGGCACCCACGCTGCTCTGCCCTCCCCAACCTTTGGATTTTTCCCCTCCCATGACATCACCTCCCTGCTCCGGCAGCAACTTCTCTGTCACGGGATCGCGAGGGATGAGTCGGCATTTCGGGAAACGGGTCAAACCCCGACGCAACCACCGGGCACGGGACGAGCTGGCTCACACCGAGGAGGAGTCGGAACACGATTCCTAGCTCACAGCACGCTGCCACGGAGCGACACACCCCTTGGGATCCGAAAGCCAACGTGCGACTCCAGCACCAGGCATAAAATTGCAACACTGATTTTCTGGAAAAAATTTTGGGGAAAAAATTCTATTCTCCAAACATCCGAGCCACAGCTCACCTTCCTCCCGAGATTCTCCCCTTGTCACCTTCCCAGCTGACAGCTGTGATGTCCTCCTGCTCCTTGCACCATCGATCCTCACACCAGAAACCAGTTGCTCATTCTGGGGAGTTTCCAGAGAGCTTGCCCCTCTGGGGAGCTGGGGCTGGGGGGTTTTCCCCCAGTCCTGGGTGGGGTGAGCCCCGACATGGGGGTAACACGGAGCCAGGCTGGGTGTCCCCTCCCTGCCCAGCCCCAGGGGACAGACAGTCCCGCCACGCCAGGCGCTGCCTCCATCTTCATGCTTACACCCAGACAAGCTTCTCATTAACCACCTGCCCTGCTAATTAGCACATCCATCCTCACCTGCTTGTGCTCCATCACCATCCCTGCAGCAGCAGTGACCCCGTGCTGAGCCCTCGTTATGCAAAGACTGAACCCCCCAGCACCCCAAAACTCCACGTGGGGTCAGGAAACCCACCGGGGTCAGGGCTTGGGGGATATTTTCTCTTTTTTTTTTTTGTCCCCTCTCCCTGATCCCATTATCCCTGCAGGGATGTTTCTGGCTGGATGCAGCCCAGAGGATGCAGGAATTCCAGGAATTCCCCTGCCCCAGCCAGAAGAGCAATACCTGGGAAAAGCACCATTGCTGCCAATGTGCCAATTCCTTGTTGTTTGGGCTCATATAACACCCAGCCCGTGTCAGCATCTCACCAGGGAATACAGAGAGGTGGAGGGACAGCCCCATGGAGACCATCGGGGCTTTGCCACCTTCTGCTCACGCGTCCTCCCAGGAATGCACCTGCAGTTGTTTCTCTTTGCATTCCCTCCTTTTAAGAGCTATTTCCCCATGTTTTTTGTTTTGTTTTCATTTCTCACAACTCCTCCATCGCACCCTTGCAGACAGCACCAGGTGAGCAGCAGTGTTTTGTTAAAGCTCTGCCCCAGATGCTCATACATATATACATATATATACACACACACGTACATATAGGAACCTGCCTCTTCCCAGCTCT